TTAGTTTTATATTTTACTGTAACAAAATTTTTATGTAAATATGTATGTATATATTTCTATCTTTTTATATAATATATTTGTATATATAATTTTTTGTACTTACAGAAAGCATTTTCTTGTGGGGGGTTAACAATATTAGCCACCACTGCAGGCGTTGGTGTACATTGAGATTGCGGAGCAGCTGGTGGAACCTCTGCCTGAGTAGCTGGTAGAACTTCTGCCTGTGCAGCTAATGGAACCTCTGCTTGAGCAATTTGTCTTTTAGCAGCCAACTGACGCTCCAATTGCTGCACTTCAATTTTTAATATTTCGTTTTCAATCATAATAAGATTGTAGTCATCGTCACCCTAAAAAAGTAAAAATAAAAATGAAATAAATAATTCTATGAATCTCTATACAAATCTGTTCATGAATTGGCTGCATTAGTTCAAATGTTGTCTTTTTTAACATTGGAAAGAAAAATGTAACCTGTAAACTACTGCAACCAGTTCAATCAAAACAAATAGATCTGATATGTTTATATGTACACACAACAACAGGAATGTTTTAATAAATTTATGCACACATTGGAGCATATAGAAAATACAAATATATTTCGATATGTGCGTAAAATTGTGTTAAACCATTCATGTTGTCATGTGATAAGAACATATAATATAAAGGAACGAATTATAATTAATAAAATAGAAATCTACTTACTTCTTGAATCACTTTGTTCTTTTCTTTAGCATTCGGCGTTTTTTTAGTAGGAATACTATGGGAGTTCTAACTCAGGGGCAATAAGGGGGGTGCGGGGCGGGGGGGAATCGGGGGCGAGGGGGTGACGTCACGCGGGGGGAGGGGGTCTTATCAGTAGATAAGCTTATCTTTTGTTTATAAACATATCAGATAACCTGATAAGGGGATCATGTTACCTGATATATTTATAAACAAGATAAGATAAGGGGATCATGTTACCTGATATATTTATAAACAAGATAAGATAAGGGGATCATGTTACCTGATATGTTCATAAACAAGATAAGATAAGATAAGCGGCGTCTTTGAGCGGTATCAAAGTTTTCATAAATTTTCTCCGAAGATAAGATAAAAATTCTGCGAATGGCTGCCGCATTTCGAGCGCCGACAATCGGATATCTATTACTAAGGGGGTTGCGTTTCTTCATCTAAATTTGATAAGATAAAAATTCTGCGAATGGCTGCCGCATTTCGAGCGCTGACAATCAAGGGGGTTGTGTTTCTTCCCCCATACGTTATCTGTATTTTTCTAAGAAATATAATTAAATTCTAAGAAGGGCCGCTTGGATCCGAGCGCCAACAATCAGTTCTCTGAAAATCTAAGATAATCAAATTTTAAGAAGGGCCACCGCTTGGTATACGCCGACAATCAAGGGGGTTGATACATGATCTATACATATATTTCTAAGAAATATCAGCGGGTAAAGTTTCAGGGCGAACAAGTTGCTGCCTGCAACCTCGCCGCTTGCGACCTCGCTGCCTGCAATCTCACCGCTTGCGGCCTGCGACATGTTTTTGCATGGGATTGTATATCACCCTCGCGGTACCTCCCCAATAAGCGGCGGTTCTTTATTGTTTATCTTAGGAAGAAATACCAGCGCCGATAACCAGCGGCTGCAGGAATTTATAAACAAAACAAGCGCCGAAAATTTACGTCATCTAAATTTTTCTCGTTCGTACGTTGACGAACAAAGGGTTGATCGGGGTATATAATGAGGACCGATGCAGCTGCCGGACCATAGTACCACTGGCGAGCGCATGCTTTCCTCAAGGAAAAAAATAGCTGTGAGAAAAAAATTTAGTGTGCAAAGAAGTTTTTTTTGTAATAAGTGTGAAAAAGTGATAGACATTGAAAAAATGGAGAGCGCACCGCAAAATCATGCAGAGTGTCATGAGAAGGGGTGTTATAAGACTGCCGAGAGATGGTATAGACATCTCGAGGTATGCTGTCACAATGAAAAAAAAGATAACCCGTTTTGTAATAAACATGAAGCGGTGACTTCAATTGTACAATATGTACGAAATCGCGAACTTGGTGTGCGAAAACCGCATACAAGACGTGTAGCCCAGTTCCTGGAAACGCATGAAGACATTGTAAGAGTGGCTGGTGATTTATCTAAATGCACCAGAACGTCTAAGCGACACAAGCGAGTCGCATGTTATCAACGTCGATACAAAAATTGTGTCGATTATTTCACTGTGGACAACTATGAATTTGGCTACATGGACATGCCTTCACCATCGGTGTCATGCAAAACACAATCATCCGAAAATGATTCTGACCAAGAAATGGAAGAGTCAGATAGGAGAGAACCGTCATCATCATCATCATCATCATCGTCAGATTTTTTGTCGGCAGCCTATTTATCTTTTCTGTGATAAAATAGGTGTACAATATATGCGAAGAGTATAGCAGTGTTTATGAGATAAGTTTTATCATGCGTGAAAGAGAGGATTGTAGTAAATGTGTCAAGACATATTTTCACGAGGTGTAAACAAAACAATAATCAACTGCTGCAGCGGCTGCTCTTTTACGACCGATCATCTTTCTTTCTGAGATAAGTTCGATCGCATGTGAAGCACAAAGGGCTGAACGAGATATATATTGAGGACCGATGCCACTGCCGGGTCATAGTACGGTGACATTCGCGAGCATAGTAGTGAGCGAGTAAATAGTTTTTTTGTGATTAAAAATGGAGAACGCAGCGCGTAAGAGCGACAATGAGATGTAGGTAGTGGTCATCCCTGATGACGAGATGGAGGTGGTCGTCGTCCCGGATGACGAGATGGAAGTTATAACCATCTCCGACGACGACAGTGACAGTGATGGTGCGGTGTACGACCCTGTGTACGACAGGGAGGTGAACAACGTCCTGGACGACATTGAGGAGATGGACATTGATATCGCACCCATTGAAGAAAAAGACGGCGATGACGATGACGATGACGATGACGATGACGATGACGATGACGATGACGATGACGATGAAGATGAAGATGACAATGACGACGGGTACGATACTGACAACGCTGTCCGGGAGTCGTGCAGGTCCCGGATGTATGGCATACGCGCCACTGCATCCCTCGACGAGACAGCGAGGGTATGCACTGTGGCGTCGTATGTCATGGCATTCGTCGCACCATGTGGGATGATCAGGATCTGCTTTCGCTGTTTCGTGAGAAACAGGGGCAGATTCCTAAGCATCACGACCGTCGAGGGACACACAACATCGCGGTACATAAATGTACCCGAACTGCGTTGCGAGGATTGCCGGGAAAGACTATACGTGTTCTACCTGGCCAACGCTTGTCCCACATGTCAAGGACGTGAGTATATATAATATGTCAAAAATATATATAATATGTCAAAAATATATAAAATATTAAATTATTATATTTCTATGCACAGATGTCGAGTCCGATGACAGCGATGGGTGATGCGACCCCCCCTCTCTCTCTCTCTCACTGTCCCGTCAGGGCTGTAAGTATATTAAAATACAAAAAAAAATCTATAAAATATTAAATTATTGTTATTATATTTCTATGTGTAGATGCCACTACCTCGAGCCGCCGCCACATCTCTCTCTCTCGCTGCTCACTCGCCGTCACCGTATATTTTTTATATTTTATATTTTATATTTTTTATATTTTGTTTGCGAGATTTTTTGTGCACGTTGCGTGGTTCTCTTGATCGAGAGTGAGCTTGCGTTCTCTTTCCGTATCGCGAACGCTTTTAATTATGGATTGTTTTTTGGGATCTTGAGATTGGCGGTTAAGGAGAGAGGCAAAGCCGATGTTCACTAAGCACCGTCACGTATTTTATTGTACAGAAGCACAGAATAATGGATACTGATTATCGGAGCGGAGCGTGATCTCTCGCTGCCGGTCGTCGTCGGACTGACTCACAAAACACCGTGCCTCGGCGAGGTCTCGGCGAGAGAGCGAGAACAAAAGCCAATTTCTGACAAACAAAATTCCTGAGCTCGCACATATAATACGAAGATTCGAGAATCGTTCTCGAATATGATTTTCAATTAATGATCGCAGAAATCAATAAGAGTTTCCGCAACATACCGCCCGCTTTGCATGCATCCGCATGCGAAATGAGTACCGAAATGGCAGAGAACCTTGCTCAGAACCGTGGTCTCGTAACTTTATTATACATGGATAATCAATTGAATCAATCCAATAATAGAGCTTTGACATTAGCTTGACCCAATTGCCGCAATGCTTAACCTAAAGAATATACAATGCGCATAGTGTTGTTTATTTTACAGAAATCGACTGAGTCGTAGAGCGCGATAAAGAATCACAGTTAGCAACTGGCAGCTTGCATAGTTGAGTAATAGGGCGCTGAAGTAAGCTGGTTGCTGTACGAACAGTTACTACGCGAACGAGACCATCCGCGCCTGGGTGCACTTGGACGATTCGACCAAGGTTCCATTTTGCAGGAGGGAGTACGTTATTTTTGATTAAAACAAAATCATTAATCGCGAGATTCTGCTTGGAGTCACGCCATTTGCTTCGCTGCTGGAAGGAATGCAAATAGTCGTGAGACCATGTATGCCAAAACTGCTCTTTCAGTCTCTGCACAAGCTGCCATCTGCTAAGTGCGTTAAGATGTATCGTTGATACAGATTGTTCGGGAACGCTGACGAGCGGTCGACCGATCAGAAAATGACCAGGCGTCAACGCGGTAAAGTCCTAAGCATCATCCGACATTGGCGTCAATGGCCTTGAATTTAGGCACGCTTCGATTCTGCATAATAAAGTTTGAAATTCGACACGAGTTAGCACATGCGTACCGACTACGCGTTTCAAGTGATACTTCACGTTTTTTACATTGGCTTTCCATACCCCGCCGAAGTGCGGTGCTGCCGGAGGGTTGAAGTGCCAGGTAATGCGGTCATTGGCAATTTGACTTTTCAGAATAGGATCCTGAATAATAACGCGGAAAGCATTTCGCAGCTCCTTGTCGGCACCTATGAAGTGCCGTTATCACTGTAAATGTGGGATGGAAGCCCACGTCGACTTGTAAAGCGAGACAGGGCAGCGAGAAAACCTTCTGTCGAGTAATTATCTACACATTCGAGATGAATTGCCTTAGTAGTAAAGCATACAAAAATTGCAATGTAGTGCTTCATGGTCTTTTGACCGCGCGCTGCCCGCAAGGTCAAGGGTATTGGTCCGGCATAATCAACGCCGGTGCAGGTGAACGATGCGGACGGCGCAACTCTGTGTTCGGGCAATTGACCCATGAGTTGGTCTGCGGTGACGGCTCGGTGCCGCTCACAAGTAATGCAGCTTCGAATGTACTTTCTAACCTGAGAACGAGCGGAAATTATCCAATAACGTTGCCGTAATATGCGAAGCGTTAACTGAGTGCCGCCATGAAGGGCGGCCGTATGTGCATTAGCAATCAGCAACTGTACGATTCGATGATCAGCCAGAATGATCGGGTGACATTCCGAATAGGGCAACAGAGCGTTCTTCAACCGCCCACCTAGATGTATTAATTGATCTTGCCCAAGAAATGGGCGTAACGAGCTTAGTCGGCTTGATTTTGAAATAGAAACTTTTCGTTTTAACGCTGACAATTCTGAAGAAAACAGTTGGCGTTGAACTTGTTCAAGCCAAAAGTGTTCGGCATGATGGAGTTCGGCCGCTTCTAAAGACGAAAGATTCAATGAAGTCCCCTGTAATCGGTTGCGTAAATTGGTTACAAATCGAAATAGATATGCTGTAACCCGTATCAATTTTGTCCATGTTGAAATGTCGTTCGGGAGATTCCATGTAGTGACATTGTCGGTAAGATGCACCGACGCCGAGGAGGATTCCTCCAGTAAAGCGTTAATCGATATGTCTTTGCTTGTCGATTGAATTGGCCACGTCGAAGAATGAGTGCGGAGCCAGGACGGTCCAGAAAACCACAAAGAGTGATTCATAAATTCGGTAGCAGACAAGCCGCGCGAGGCGCAATCTGCCGGATTCTCAGCTGATTTGACATGATGCCATTTAATTGTGGGAAGAGTGGTTTGGATTTCCGATACGCGAGTGGCGACATAAGTACGCCACCTTGAAGGGTGTTGAGTTATCCAAGCTAGGGTAACAGTGGAGTCCGTCCAACCGTACACAGGAACGTTTGACAGATTGAAAGACCGATAAATCCATTTAATCAGTCGACTGAGTAAAACTGCTGCGTTGAGTTCAAGTCTAGGGATACTGAGCGTCTTAAGAGGCGCAACCTTGGTTTTAGCGCATAGCAACGTAATCTGAACGTCGTCAAAGGATCTGAGAACGCGCAAATACACCATAGCGGCGTACGCACGCTTTGATGCGTCGGCAAAACCATGTAGTTCCATTCCTAAATTATCTCGATGCGAACCTGTCCATCGTGGAATTTTAATTGTTTCGAGCTTGGGTAAATCAGAATAGTATGAAATCCAGTGCTGGAGAAGATCAGGGGGGAGCGGATCGTCCCAGTCGATTTTTGCGAGCCAGAGCTCTTGAAGCAAAATTTTAGCCGTAATTACTACGGGCGACGCCCATCCGAGTGGGTCGTATAGCTTTGCAATCAACGACAAGACTGAGCGTTTTGTGTTCGCACCAGAGGTGCCAGAAGATACCTTAAAACAGAATGAATCAGTGTGCGGCGACCAAGACAGCCCAAGCACCTTCAGTGAGTCATCGCTTTTAATAGCGAGATCCGATTGCCGCCTATCAAGCGGAATGTCTGCCAGCAACTCCGAAGAGTTTGCAGTCCATTTGCGTAGATCAAACTGGCCACGCTTCATGAGCGCAATGAGTTGATCTCGAGTTTTGATGGCGTCGGAGATTTCATCCGCGCCGAAGAGAGTATCATCAACGTAGATTGAGTCGCGAAAAATCGTTTGTGCGAGGGGGAACTCGTGCCCGTCATCCTCGTTTAGTTGTTGCAATACGCGCATGGCTAAATATGGAGCACAAGCGGTGCCGTATGTAACGGTATTTAATTGGTAGTGATTGATATGTGCACAACCCGGGGGTTGCCACAGTATTCGCTGATAATCTCGATCTTCATGATGGACCGAGATTTGTCTGTACATTTTCGCTATGTCAGCTGTGTACACGTATTGAAATAATCGCCAGCGAAGAACTATTGCGGCTAAATCTTGTTGGAGTTTTGGACCGATCATAAGATGGTCGTTTAATGAAGTGCCGTTTGATGTACGGCAGGAAGCATTGAACACCACGCGTAGTTTCGTGGTGGTACTGTGTTCGCGAAGGACAGCATGATGCGGTATGTAAGCCGCGTCCGAAAGATTAGAAGTGGAGGGTTTGATCTGGGTCATGTGACCCAGCTCCTCGTAATCTGCTAAAAACGCATGATAGAGCGTTCTAATTTCAGACTGTCGTGACAGCCGATTTGTTAATTTGGCGTGAAGCACTGAAGTGATTTGAAATGATTCACCTATACTCGGCGGTGAGCCATTCTTAAACGGCAATCGTACCACGTAGCGGCCATGTACGTCGCGCTTGTGAGTTGCAGCAAAATGTTGCTCACAACGTTGTTCGTCCTCCGTTAGCGGAGGCTTGGAATCAGAAATTGTCTCGTCTGTCCAGAATTGTTGGATGACGGGAGCGAGGTCGTCTTCAACGACGCAATTGTGAACGTCAGCCGGAGGATGAGTTGCATCCGTGGGGCCTGTTGGTCCGGAGAGTATCCAGCCGAACAGAGTGGACTGCGCTGTCGGGGTCCCAGGCGGGCCATGACGAATGTCACCGATTAGCAGAGCACCGTATAAATCGGCCCCGATTAGTAAATGAATTTGGTGGGCGCTCGACGGATCAGGATCTGCAAGTTGCAATCCGCGCAAATGTGGCCATGAATTTATTTCCCGGATCTGAGAGGAAGCGTATGAAGTGATTTTTTCATAGGCGTATGCCCATAACGAGACGGATTTTCGCGGATTGAAACTTGGAGAGAGAGATATGTGAACCCGCGAGCGAGCCGACCCGCTGTATTTTTCCCCGAAGCATCGAATCTGCAGATTAGCGCGTTGACGCCTGGTTCGCAACGTTTGACATAAAGATTCGCTTATGAAGCTGTATGTGGATCCCTGATCCAGAAGGGCACGCACCAGTGTAGTACGTCCTTCTTGTGTCCGCACGATTACCCACGCAGTAGCGAGGAGAATATTCGCAGGCGAGCGCGTTTTCGGCGATACGGATTGTACCGTAGCTGTGACGGGAGACGCCCTTTGTACGAGTGTCTCTGATTTCGTGTCGGGTAATTGCTGAGACGCGTCATCCTTCGATTCGGCTTTAAATAATTTATGTAATGTCGTGTGATGTCGTTTCTGACATCGTAAGCATCGACCTCGTGACATACAGACGTTCGCGGAATGACCTTTCCGGAAGCAATTTCGACACAACTGTTTCTGGTCGATAAAATTAATTCGTTGATCTATCGATCGTGCGAGAAATTTATCGCATTTCGAAAGCCAATGAGTTCCGGAACATTCAACGCAGTTTAATGTAATTACATTATTGACGGTACCGCGCGGTTTTCCATTGCGAGAATTGGACGCCGAATTTTCTATTGACATGCCCTGATCGGTCAGTCCACGGATGCGTACGGTCATAAAATCATGAATTTCTTTATAAGTCGGGCATTCCGACAGGCTACCACATTTTAAATTCCATTCGGTTTTAGTTTTAGAACTAAATTTGCGTGATATCAAATAAACGAGTAAATCATCCCATGATTTGACCGGCCGATCAAGGCTGTCTAAAGCAGCGAGAGATGCTGCTACTGAGTCGCGAAGTTGGCGTAATTCCGCGGCGGTTTCCGATCGCATTATCGGGAGTTCCGCAAATGCATGGATGTGAGATTGAATGATCGCAAACTTATTGTCGTATTCGTCGGTTAGCAGTTGCCACGTAGCAGCATAGTTTTCATCCGCAATTCGAATATTCGCTATTAATCGCGCTGCGTCACCGGTGACACTTGTTTTTAAATAGTGTAATTTTTCTGTATTTGACAGACAATCGTTATTAGTCACTAATGACTCGAAAATACCTTTAAAATTTTCCCACTCCGTAAATTTGCCGGAGAATTTAGGCAATGAAATGCGCGGCAAATGTATCGGACGACGCGTGTCGGAATCAAAAATAGACGATCGATCGCTCGTATTATGCGTAGGAGGGGTTGGACTTAGCTTTTTGATGGCTTCGTTGATCAGGTCCACGGTGACGTCATACGTTTCTTCCGCAGCATAGAATTCCTCCTTGACGAAGTATGGAAGTTCGCTTTTTTCCTTGGGCGTGACTGCATGCAGAATCCTCACATGAATAGCCTTGCACGATGACCATTGATCGTGAAGCTTCTTCAATCGGCTCTCCAGTTTGATTACAGTTGTCTGTGCTTTGGACAGCTTCTTGACATTCACCAAACTGCGATTGATCGCGTCGATGGTGAATGATTGTTCCGTGAGCAGAAAATCAATGGACTCTGTCATTGTAATAACGTAGATAAGAGTCAACTGATTTGATTGGAAGCGATAGTGCACCGCAGGTAGCGAGGGATGCGGCGGCCGATCAGCGGCGCTTCACTTGCTTAATATTTGTTGTTCCGGTGCAACAGCACTCACCGAATGGCGTGTAATATCGTGATACTCATTTACTGAGAGATAGCCAGCTCCGGAGCACTGTTTCATGCACGATAGGTGTTGATCGCCACTGTAGGGCACTGGTATTGTCGCCAGTGTTGTTTCACGTGGGCACTGTGTGATTGTGCGCACGGCTAGATGGGGCGCGCACGTGTTCACTGGCGTGGGTCGCACGTGATTTGCGAAGTCCGAGGAATGTTTCAGATAATGCCGACGACTATGTAATGCCGCAATTTTTTGAGAATTGCACTGTACACTGTACTATATGATAAGGTTCAGCTTGCAGTCCAATAACGCCAAGAATCCGGCTCGAAGGACCAAAAAAAATGTTCGCGAGATTTTTTGTGCACGTTGCGTGGTTCTCTTGATCGAGAGTGAGCTTGCGTTCTCTTTCCGTATCGCGAACGCTTTTAATTATGGATTGTTTTTTGGGATCTTGAGATTGGCGGTTAAGGAGAGAGGCAAAGCCGATGTTCACTAAGCACCGTCACGTATTTTATTGTACAGAAGCACAGAATAATGGATACTGATTATCGGAGCGGAGCGTGATCTCTCGCTGCCGGTCGTCGTCGGACTGACTCACAAAACACCGTGCCTCGGCGAGGTCTCGGCGAGAGAGCGAGAACAAAAGCCAATTTCTGACAAACAAAATTCCTGAGCTCGCACATACAATACGAAGATTCGAGAATCGTTCTCGAATATGATTTTCAATTAATGATCGCAGAAATCAATAAGAGTTTCCGCAACATATTTTTATATTTTTATATTTTTATATTTTTTTTATATTTTATATTTTTATATTTTTATATTTTTATATTTTTATATTTTTTTATATTTTACATATATTATTTTTTATTTTTTATTTACACACACACAGTAGAGAGGGTTTGGAGTCATTAAATACCGCGGAAGTGACGAACCGCGGGGTCCTCATCTCTACTGCAACACATGTACAAGTACACACACGCATACACACATGCACATACTCTGACATATGAGGTGTAAATCCGACCGGCAACCTCCACGCGGTACACCTCGGGTGCTAATGCCGGTGGTAATATATTAAATAAAAAAATATTAATATAATAAAATGTTTATTAATTTAAAAAAATGTTTCCCTTCTTCTTTCCTTATAGAAAAAATATGTAAAAAACTAATGTAAAAACTAATGTAAAAAAATATGAATAAAAAAGTAATGAATAAAAAAAAAATGTTTTTCCTCCTCTCCTTCACATCTCTCGCCGTCGCCTCTCTCGCCGTCGCCTCTCTCGCTGTCGCATCTCTCGCCGTCGCCTCTCTCGCCGTCGCCTCTCTCGCCGCTACATCTCTCACCGCTGCATCTCTCGCCGCAGGCCCGAGCCGCCGAATCTCTCGCCGCAGGCTCGAGCCGCCACATCCAGGCTTGGATCTCTCTCACCGCAGGCCCGAGCCGCCGACTCTCTCACCGCCGCGCGCTACCTCTCTCTCTCTCGCTCCGACGGGAGAGCTCGTATACCGCCGCGCGCTGAATCCAGGCTTGGATCTCTCTCTCTCGAATGCGTGCGTCTTCTGTCTCACTTCCGCATCTCTCTCTCACTTCCGCATCTCTCTCGAATGCGTGCTGCATCAAATGCGTGCGTCTTCTCTCTCGCCGCTACTTCCCTCTCTCTCACTCTTGAATGCGTGCTGAATCCAGGCTTGGATCTCTCTCTCACCTCTTTTTCTCTCTCTCGCGTACGTCTCTCGCTGCAGCCCGTCTTCTTTCTCTCTCGCCGCTACATCTCTCGCCGCTGCATCTCTCGCCGCAGGCCCGAGCCGCCGAATCTCTCGCCGCGAGCCGTCGAATCTCTCTCTCTCTCTCGCCGCCACATCCGATCTCTCTCTCGCGCGCTGTCTCTTTCTTTTCTAGTGATTGCTCTCTCGCAAAGTATGTAACGGGTGGCGCGCAAATAAAGTACACCATGATATATACATATAAGTATTTATTCATCTTATATTTAATACATAATTATATAGTTTTATTACATATTAAAAACTAAAGCCACCAGCTCGCAATCGACAAGTTGGTGCATGTTGAAGACATTGCTAGCGCGTATCGCATTCGACAATTCTCTCGCATTCGTTACAGTGGATGCAATATTGGAGAATTGAGTATATTTGATATCAACCGTTGCGACGAGCCTCGTCAATCGATCGTACATTATTTCGATACATGAATCGAGCTCGAACATACGACGTAACGTCGATTCGACCATCATCATGCGCACGTCCGCTGATTCGAGACTTATGAGCTTGGTGCCGTTTATCTTGTGAAATCGCACTGTTAGCGGCCCGACACTTATGAAATTATACACATCGTTGTTGGAGGAGTCATTGTTCAGGTAATTGTGAATAGCGTGGCGTTGCTCGTAGAGTCCTTTCCACGTTTCGAGAGATAGTAATAGCTGTTTTCCCCGATGATCTCCTATGGCGATCTCCACGTAACTCGGCGGATCCACTCTGATGCCGATTTCGAGGAATTTGAATTCCGTTGCCGTCAATGCGTATCGTCTTCCAAGTATACGAACCGCACGAGGCTCCAGCGAAACGCTGTAAAAAAATTCGGAAAAAAAAAATTAAAACTAAATTAGGAAAAAAAGAAATTATAACTCGTAAAATGCCTTAAATATAGAATATAGAAAAAATATAAAATATATAAAATAGAAAAAGTTATACTTACTCGTCGCATTTCTTCTCGCATGTTTCATCGCGTCTCGGCATGTAGTAATTCATGCTGCTGCTTTTTTGGTGCAGAATATTTTTCTCGAGGGTATTAAAAAGTGAACCGTCAGTTAGAACGGTCAACGAAAGACTGATTGTATAATAAGGTACTAATAATCGAGTAACGGTCATTTTGTGTACAATATAAAATATTAGGAGAAGGGGATTCTTAGAAATATATCTGGAGGGAAAGAACAAAGAGAAATATTTAAAATATTAGGAGAAGGGGATTCTTAGAAATATATCTGGAGGGAAAGACAAATTATTAAAAGTAGTGGGGGTAAAAGAAATTCTTAGAAATACGATTGCGTGAGAATTTTTAAAAGTAGTGGGGGTAAAAGAAATTCTTAGAAATACGATTGCGTGAGAAATTTTAAAATATTAGGAGAAGGGGTAAAACAAATTCTTAGAATATATATATATCTGGTGAGGGAGAGAAATAACAAAGAAAATAGTATGTAAATAATATGTTTATTCAAAAAACGGATGATCGTCGGATCCAAGCCTGGATTTTGCGGCCGACCACCAATTAAATAATTTAAATACATTTTGTAACGCGCAATTTTTTACATGTTTATTACATCGTAGAGTATATGTGGGATCTAATTTATTTAATGCAGGCACATCTTCATATATGGCATCCAAGGTCTCAATGATGAAACCGCTGCACACATCGTCCACTATTTCGGCAAGCCACTCTCGCTTTTCGAGTCCTTTTACATACACGAGAGAGGACTCTTCCTCCTCGTCTTGTTCATTTATGCCATTGATAGCTGCCGTAATCAAGCGCTGAACCATGCAGTATGGAACATTTCCATCCTCCCATTGCAAGCTGTGATGATGTTGAGTTAGCCACGAGGCCTGACGCCTTTCCGACTTTATAAGCACGCTCCATGGCACAGGGCATGCGAAGAAATAGTGCGACAGGATATATCCTCTTCTCAGGATTGCCGCTTCCTTCACGATAAATCGCTTGTTTAGGATAAATCCTTGCAGGTCGACAAACGTTGGTGCGGACATGATCTCTTCGATGCGAGTCAGTCGAGAGGTATTACTTCACTAACATCAGACATCTCACATCATCTTGATTATGTATCCTCCTCCCCCTCTTTCACACGCGTATTTGTGTAAACATTTTTTAGGTGATTTTGCGCACAACGTTGGTCAACGGGTTGTACTGGATCACGCGATCGTGCATGATGAGGCAGTACGCAGTGGTATTATTAGGTATATTCTCCTTACACTCAAATTCCAATCTCACATCCACCGTTGCGCTCTTGACCGATTCGTTTTGTCGAGAACAATCGATAATCACAAACGGACCGTTTTGTAAAAACCGTGTGATGGTGAGGCTCGGCTCGAGATACTCGTATCCGTAATAATTTTTGCAGAAACGCGCATACGTGTCATACAGAATCGACCATCTGTTTCTATCGAAATCCAGATTCATATCGTCGTACGGATAACATTCCGAGTTCAGATAGAGTTTCACGTTGGTTAATTTACAGTCGTCGAATCGACTCGTATCCTCGGACATGACATTTTTACGCCCCGTCTGCAGAGCAAAAATTACATATCGCGGCTTCTCCAGTTGAGTCGCGGTCTTAATGGCCCACGAATGCTTGGTCGTACGCTGCAATAGCGGAAATTCGTATAGATCCCACGAGCGGAAACCCATGCTGAGGTAACGTCCGCTTTCCAGAGCGCGCAGCATCGACAGCTTCTTAATCTCGCTCAACAACACGTGTGGCATTCGCCATTGTATCTTGAATATGTTGATCACAGGCTCCAGTGCAGAATCTCCATACAGGCAATTATTGTCGTTGCGCGCTCGTATTAGGATCAACTCATGACGCGCATTAATAACAACGCGTTTGTAATCCTCGCAAAATCCCAGCAACATGTGCAGCGGCACACAAAAATTAAAGTATCCATTCACAGTAGTCGGGCTATCCCAGCCTGCATTTCGCATAATCACGCTTCTATCGGATGACATTGTTACATAGTTTTTCAGCAGACTTGTTATTCCCACATTCCTGTTGCGATCAATCTCCACACCATCGAGCTCATAGCGAATTTCGTCAAACATGAATGCGACGCAATTATTTCCC